AATTTTATTATTACGCGATGATTTGCATAAAGCATTGAAAGGATTTGATTAAAACATAATGTCAATAATATTAAATATAAGATGCAGAAAATATCATTTAGAAAAAATTTAGTTGAAATGAATCTGCAATTTTTTATTGTGGATATATCGGAAAATCTTTGCAAAAATTAAATCTTTTTACAGACTCATTTAAAACTCCGGCCTATGATTCGGCGCTTTATAAAAAGGGGCTTTTTGTATGTGTAAGAAATTGGTTTTATAAAGGCTCACAAAACAAATATACCATAATTCTATAATTAGTCTCAGGAATATATTTTTAGCAGTGATGTCTACTTTTACAAGACACCCTGTGTAACGACTGAGCACAACGTGTAGAAAATCGCGTGAATTATTCATACTGTAAAAATTAAGACTGAATTCTCACTTATCGCGCGTTGCGCCATGCATCTGGCGCTCGTTCGATGTGATATCGCCTATGATTACCAAAACCGGCGAACATACGTCATCGTGCACTGCCACAATCCCGTTTTCGAAAACCCGTACCGCCTGTAGCGGAACGGAGCGGGCCTCTCGGCGAATTTGAGCCATGTGATATGCGCTTTGCTTGCCCACGTGAGTATGTTTCGAGTGTGTGCCAATATGTTTATTTTTTTTTATATTTTTGTATATAGTATGTATTTACGTAATGTGTCTGCATATACGCGTTATCGATATACGAGCCGTGTGCGTGTGCGTCACGCCTAGATAAAAAGATCCCGTGTACATAATTAATGTGTAGCGTAAGAAACTTATAAATGTACAAATACCTCGTCCGAGCGTTACGAGCACAATAAATTTCTATCTATACCATAGGTTGTTGCTTTTGTCTGCATCCACCCCCGATACTGACTTTACTAAAACAGCCGTAAATGTCGTTCTTTCTAGGACGAAGGGGTTTCAAGCCGGTTATTTCTGGCGATCCTTCCTTCGTGGCGAAAGGAAGGGCGTGAACGGAAAGAGTTTCTGTTTTCTCGGAAACCGTTCGTCAAAGCCACATGTCACATCGTAAATGAGTCTTATAATTCATACGACAGTTGTACGAGTGTCGTGTGAGAAAATTAACGGTGTCTCCGCGACATCCTGTTTAAAATGAAAAATATTATAGAATATATTTTCATTTGTTTTTCATTTTTGTGGATATATTTCTTTATGTATATATCGAGTTTATTTCATTAAAAAAATACATTTCTTAATCATAAACATATCAATTAAATAAAGTAAACGGTGTAATAAATAAGCAGTAATTTTTCTGAAAGACATTCTATAAAAATTTATATCTTAGCATTTTTATTAATAATTTGGAATTTTATTGCGAGATCCACAAAAATCAAAAACATTTTTCTTGACAAGATATCGCACGTAAATTTGATACTTTATATGTATTACAATATTAATCGTTTGTTTAAACTCGTAGCATTTTTATTTGAAATTTACGTTTCTACTTGCTATAATTCACGTATTTTATGAGAGGTATCTCTGCATAATATTTCCGCGTTTATAAATAATACATGTGTGTTTTATAAAACAGAAGTATATGTTAGACTTGAATGTACTACCAGCCGTTATCGAGGCACGCCGATGCGCTTTTAGATGTGCTATATTAAGCCTTTCTCTCTTCCCGGTTTTCTCAACCATAAACCGTTTTATCCGGAATTTACGTTGTTTATTCGCGCTGCTACACGCGCGCCGTTCGGTATCCAGGAATAATGATGCCTCACGAAGCACGTTCCGTGGGAGCAGAAACGGTCTTGCTGTCGTTGCCGCCAGAACATTAATTTGCAACATATTTACACTGTCGTCTCCGGATGATTCCCCAATAATGCGAGTCCGATTAGGTACGCTACATTAGGCACTCCGTTCTCTACGCTCCATCAGCGGTGAATGCGCGAGAGGGTGCCTGGGAAGCCGGAAGCTGGTAGAATACACACATATACACACGCGCGCGTGTGAAAAAAGAAGGAGACATATATTTATATAGTCAAACGAGAATGATCTATCTCGGCGGGGGGATTTAATCGTTCGAGAGCGACGGAAGCTCGCTTAGATGCGATTTTACGATGCGTAAAACGTTATCAATGACCATTCCTTTGCAAAAAAAGCCCGGATAGTCCGAAGAATTGAAATACGAATTAATTGCCGGCGCGTTTCTCCGCGACATAAAAATTCTGGGATGCACGTGTCTTAACGAAGATACCGCGTCATGGTGCGACCGTGACGATCCGCAACACCGATCTTACGAAAAGGATTTACGTAACGCGCAACATCCTCCTGCGGTCGCCTGACAATCCGCCGTTGCATAATTGCATCTTTGGCACGAACGACTTAAGTGCACTCGCCAATATTCAGCGGCACGAACGGTTAACGCCTGTTGGCGTGGGTGAATCATTATTCCGTGAGGTATGTAAAGAGAAGGGTGACACCGTTAGGGCAATTTATTCATCACTGACGCTCTTTACATCGTCTTTAATAAATGTTTACACGAAATGGCGGAGGTAATCTTTTAACGTTGTGATAATGAAGGAAACTTTAAGAATGGATCGGGAAAAGAGGATGGCTGTAGTTATATAGGGCTGAAAGGGGCAACAAGCCCCTTTTAATGAATTTCAATGAAGGCCCCTTTGTTTGCGCCTGAGATTTTAACTAAGCGTCGGGGGGGGGGGGGGGGGGGTGACAGGATTCAAAATTGCTTTAGCGTTGATGTGCTGGCTGCAACGGTTCACAACGGGGTGCATTTTTAGAGCGAGCACTTTACTCATCGTAACGGGTGCGAGATAACGTCATTCATGAGCATTCTCGTACCCTCTGTAAACCATTCACAATGAGCCATTATTACAGCGAAGCTTTGTTCGGCGCGAAAGTAACTGTACTCTACTCTTCAAAAGCTAGCGATAAGTAATGTGCATTTATTAACAGTTTTTATTGATTAAATGTTGCTTAAATAATATCGCGTGCATTCTCCCTGAAATAAATATACATATATTAAAAGATAAATTAATAACAAAATAGATTTTTTTTTTAATAACTCACAATATATTGGGTTGAACGGAAAGTTCGTTCCGTTTTTTACTAACAATAAGAGATGAAGACCGAAAAAACGGCACGAACTTTCCATGGAACGAACTACACTAACTTTTTAAGGAAGCATTTTTCGACCCATGTATATAGGAAACTTTTTGTTCGGTATTAAATTATCTTTCAAATGAGATAAAAGTGATTGTAGTTCGCTCCATAGGTTTTGAAATAAACCAGTTAATAACCAATTTTAAATGTACCAAAAAGTGTTTTTTTGGCTATTGACGATTATTCCAAAACCTATGGAACGAACTATAATAACTTTGATCTCATTTGAAAGATAATTTAATTCTCTACAACTTTTGTTTTAAAAACATGTGTCGAAAAATGCTTCCTTAAAAAGTTAGCGCCCAAAAACCTCTGAAATCACGGTTATTTTTTACATTTTTACAAATATCAGGGAAAGTAT